GTAAACCTGGAATCAACCGGAAAACGGATAGAAAATTAAAGGCCAAAAACATGCAAATTATACATAATTAGGTGAGCTAGGCTAAATATCTAGCTTCATTTTAATTGCATCAGAATGTGGAAACCGAGATGCGTAGCACAATAATAGTTGGTACCCAATGTGAGTTCTTAAGCGAATTTTTTTTGTTTTTGCGCCTTTAATGAGAGATTAACTGTTAAATGTCTGACTAAGGAGGTTACCAAGCAACGTATACACGCACGGCTGACTATAACCTTAGTATAAGGTGGGATGTCAACTTGAGTCAAGAGGAATGTGCTTTATGTAATTCAGGAGTGGAGAAGGGAAGCTGTTGATTTTCACACCAGCAGTCTTTAAAGCCTCAGGGACAAGAGTCGAAGGTTTATAGGCAGTCATATTCCAGACAGCCATACAGTCATTATCATGTGTAGCAGGGAAGGGCTGACAAGCATTTTGAAGGGGGGGGGAATAAAAAGCAGAAGTCATGACCCGGAAGCCCTCCAAACAACATCTCAAACTGGTAGTAAAGGTGAGTAAGTTTCACTATAATCGGTACACTGTTAAGGTAAGTTGGAGGGAACGAGTAGGTAAATGGGCGATATGAATTGGAAGGATATGAAGCTAAAGAGGACTGCGAACTAACAATAGGCCACACTATCCTGGTTTTCATACCTACGACGTGAAGTAGAGTCAAGAGAAAGAGATACAGCCAAATAATATGGGCAAGGAGTGATGTCACAACGGTTGAACAGAAAATTGGTAAATGAGATTGTCTTTCCTTGTCACTCTGATAATGTCTAACTTTGTGTCAAGGATGGAGCCTCTCACTGAAGATTTTGGCGAAACGTCTGAGAATGTACCAAGTCAACAGTCCGATTAAGAAAATCATCATAAATATTATGTCATAGGACGCAGAACTAGCTATGCTCAACAAGGTCTCACTGTCGCTCCGACCAAGTTGCGAAAGGAGACTGCGACCAAACAAAAAGCCAACACTTTGGTCTTCATATCTACTATCTTAACAAATATAGACATGAAAGAATGGCTTAGAACCTGTATTCATGATTATGTTTTGTTTAAAGCTAAGCCAAAATTATGGAGATCATCAAAATAAATTGATTAATTAACAGGATGCATGTTAGGAGTACAGGTAAGAAGAAATAATCATGATCAGTTAGAATTATGGATGGAAGAGGTGTTAATTCACCTAGAGAATGGAAGCGATCCAATCTTATCTATCGTTGGTCATAGTTCGAAATGCAGCCGCTTCTTACTTCGTACGTAAACGTACACAGAAACATATAAACTTGACTAAATGAATGTCCAGCATTACGCAGAGTGATAGTCAAATGAGAAAAATGGCAATTAAGGCCTGGTTCACGAGAGGATAGATTATGCTCTGTTATAATTACTTCAATCTATCACTTCTGATTTCGTACCTCTATTCACACATGAGAATACAAATGCATATGATTATATATTGGTGTATGTTATGCACTAATTAAGTACATAGAATTTAGGGATAAACCGATATCCTGATTCTTTGGCTTGTATTAGATGTAAGAATAATACCCTGCTCTGATGATGCCTATCGTATGGCAGGGGACAGCTTAGCACTTTCTCACTTTAATCGAAGGAGATTGTCTCGCAATGATGCAATAAGGTCACATGGCAGATAGCTTTCTGATGGGATCGACCTTCAATTCTCATTATCACGCAATTTCACTTAAAATGGAGATTTACATAAAAATAAATGTCCCTCAGGCTGATAATGGTGCATCTGCAGCTGAGCACGTAAATAATAGTAATTATCAAAATTAACGGATTAAGAAATACAAAGAAATTAATAAGGGAAATACACGCTGAAGAACAGCTTGTATTTGATTTTTACACCTAAGAATATAGATATCTAGTCATATAGTGGTTGAAAGCGACTCAGTTATTCTGCTTGGTTAGGGTTATAATATTATTCATAAATATTAAAAGCATCTGAGTTAACAAAAGGAGCTCGTTACTCCAACCATACAGACATAAGAAATCATACAATAGTAGTGATGAGTCTTCCTAGAAAACAAAGGTTAATAAAATTTGCTAGCTAAGGATACAGGTTACACTTTAGTTACCCTAATATAACTGACTTACTTGTAGTCCCGAAGGCCTAGAGATAGATCACTTATTCTTCTTTACGCGTCAATGGTTTGATTTTTGAACAAGAATGATGTATGATGATTTACAGACATATCGTCGGCATATCTTCACTGAAGTAGCAGAAATATATTTCAAGGACCGTGTAGGTCAAGCCTGGTTGGTTTAATCTAGTAAGGGCTGCTTTCTGGTTTAAACTAGCTATAAGCTAACAGTTTAAATAGACTAAAAGAATAATACAACATACTCCGAGGACTCTTTAATCACCGAATAACTAAGCCTTACTCAGACTTTACTGACGGATTTCACTGACTAGATAACGAGATAAAGTTAGAGAAAAATAATTGATGCTGGGTAAAATTCCATGCTAAATTGACTATAAAATAAAGGCTCTAAAGCCGACTTTCTCACATGGAAACCAGTTCATTATTTCTGTTGAGCATATGAGCCAGCCAGCTAAGCAGGCAATAAGTAGGAGGAAGAGCAGATTAGTCCAGCCGACTGGCAAGGCTGTTCCATTGCCACAATGCTTGAATCTACCGAACACGCGACTGCTCTCGAGGTCCGATTGTTGGGCGTGAAAAATTCATCGGGTACAGAAGCGTTCGCGAGGCCAGTTGATAGAGAGGAATGAGATAGGTTGGCCGCCATAACTGGGAAGATGATAGTAGAACGTTTCCGGGATGATACTGAAGTTGATTGCGTTGGGCGGGCAGTGGTGTCAAGGCTAACAGTAGTCGTAGTAACTGTCGACAGCTTCGGTGGTTGTAGGCTCATTCTTGTAAGTCTGATCGGACGTCTGACCAACTGTAGTCCAACTAACAGAGTCCGCATTGATTCTGCATGGAAGCAGGGTAATTGGTTCAGCAGGAGCAGAGTATTGGTGAAGAGCTCGAGTGAGCCGAAGCAGATATCCC